ACCAATTCAAATCCGATTTGCGCATTCATCAAATTAAATCATATGTATGTATGTACATTAACATTTATGTCTTCAATAGCGAACTTGTAACTAAATAGGTAGCAGATGCATAATTTGGCCAGATTAGCGCAAAATTACTTACAAATCGACTTTTAGTATATTTTCATAAATTAAGCATGAAAAGCAAAATTACTCCCCAGTGGGAAAAGTGGTTGTGCATTACATGCATGATAAATAAATAATGTATTTCTAATTATCTCTAGATTCTATTTCTGTTTAATATGTAATCAGAATTCTAATGTATACAAAAACTCGCAAAAATTTCCTACCAAATCACATTCATTCTTGCATTACTGGTAATGCAAAAATGAATGCCCCACTTTTCCTAAGACATCGACGTGGGAAAAATTATGCATTTTCGAATGTGAAAACGGTTGTTTTACCGATTATTTTTTCGATTACTATACATTACTTTTTCCCACTGGGTCATTTCGTACGGCATATGTTCATACATGAATACATCTGTATGTATGTACAAACCCCGCAGAAAATCTGGCCAGCTCAGAGCTAGCGTAGAACTAGACCTCTTGCCGACAGTACTAGATCCCAATAGCCAAGCAATGTTTTCGACTGTCCAGTTTTACACGGCGATGTCATTGGCGGTGGCAATTGTCGCCCAGTGCATTACTTTGCAACTAGTTTTTAACCGGTTCCGTTTTGGGCAGTTTTTTTTATAAGATACCGATTTAAAGACTCGATTTTTGGATATTTTTTTCGTTTTTTTTCCTTTCTGTTACAGATTCCATTTTGGTTACATATTTTATAAAAAAAATATTGTAAGCTGCACGCAACAATTTAAATTCATTAAATTTGAAAACTCACAACTGTCTCCATCGCGATTTGAACTCGCGACCAACGATGCTTGAGTCGGAGGTCTTCTCGCTGAGCTACTTTCGTATTGTACGAGTAGTGAGCATTTTCTCATTTACACCGCAAGTTCTGCATCCGTTTTGCACTAGTTCAGAGATAGTTCTGATATAATATGATATGTTATGCAGTTCGGAACTAAATTTTACTGCAGGTAAACTACACATGCGTTGGTGAGAGATGTTAACAAAAACGTTGAAAGAGCAGATTGAAATGAAGCAGAAAATTAACATTAATTAGTTGTGAAAAGGATTTATGTCACTCAGCTGTTAGTAATGTGGAAATACTCTGTATGTATGTGTGTACTATGTAAAGCTATGTAAGCGAATATGTGTTTACATTATTGCGTAGGCGCGTTCTGTTCCGGCGGGTGCTGAATATGCGAATATTTAATCTTGACGAATTTATGAGTGCGTGCGTGAATGTTTTTGCGTCACGCTTCCGCTTC